AAAAGCACCTGGTCCCGTGCCCTCTGTCATAGTATTCATGATTTTCAGCATTGGACTATTGCTGGGTACATTCCCAAACGTTTCGCCGGCATCGCCAGTGAGAGGCAAGTGACAAGTCACTTTGATAAGTTGTAACTCAGTGTTTACGGTGGCGCATCTCACTGACGATGTCGGCAAAATGTTTGGGAATGTACTTAGCCAATGGTCCAATGCTGGAAATAATGAATACTATGGCAGGGGATACGGAGCTAGGTACGTTCCACAAGGTCTCTCTGACGCTCCGACCAAGTTGCGAAAATAAGGTCAAACCAAAACTGCAAAATTTGGTTTAGAATCCGTTAGCGGGTGTTTGGAGAGGTCGAGATTTCGAATGAAAGCATGTTATGGGAGGCAAGGTTGAATGAAATTCAATTGGGCTACAAGGCCTACTTAGTGGGAGATTTTTCTCCCTATACGTCATTACTTTAGACGAACTAGAATTATTACAATTCTTTTTTACTAGTGTCATTAATTATGTTTTATTCGTTCAAAGTAGGCTTTGAAAATATCTGTAGATCATGAATAAGAACTTTATTCACTCGCATAAGGTGATAACGGATTGACAGTTGAATTTTCAAACAATTATATGAGTAGACCTCACGTTTCCTTTGAAATTCGCCTAGCCTTGCTTCAGATTGGCATTATAATTCAGGGTGGTCCGATCAGTATCCCCAGGAGTATAATCTCTACACGTCATTACTTAGGCCGCGCTGATCTGTGACACCTGTAGCAGTGGCATAGGTGGTAGCATGTCGAGACTATAAGCTGCACTACCCGGACCAATTTCCGATGAGGATGCTGATGAGGCTTAGACTTGGTCAAAACTGCAGTTCGTTTTGGATAATAAATACATTTAGGAATCAAGGCTATGCGAATTTTTATGAGAGCGTGAGATCTACTCATCATTGTAAGAAAATTCAATTATCAATCCTTCGTCACCTAGGGTTAATTCAGCTTTTGTGAACTAATGATAGTTTCCAATTCTACTC